CAGTTTTTTTGGCACACATATTTAAGCATAAATGTGTGGGATTGAGTTCTCTTTTACATTCATTGCCTGGGTTTTATGTAAATTGCTATGTGTACCTTCTTTCATTTCCTTTTCTATACTTGCATAATAGTCAAAATTTAGAAAAATTAGTCCAAGAGAACTAGTGAGACCAATTAGGAAGCAAACAAGAACACAGATCTGAGGCTCTTTCTGGGAGTGTCGGACAGATAGCAGAGAAAACTAAATAAAAGTTTATATAGTGGGCTAAACACAAAAGGAATATTATATTCAAATTTCTTCTCCAAATAAAATATGGGAGAAGGGGAATTAGGGGAAATTAAAGGGATGAGCTCTGATTTTATTTTTATGTATCTAGATCTTGATAGAATATTGTGTTTAAAAGAATTTCATTCTGTTTTGTTCTATTTTTGTTTGTTTAGTGCCAGTTAATAGAAGTTGTCAGGCTCCAAAAATCACTTTCTGTGAAGATTTAGCTTTCTAGGCATGTTGAAGTTAAAACACTTTTGATTGTTTCTTGACCAATAATTTTAAAATTATTACATATCATTTTCTAGATGCTAAATAATGTGTATATCTGTGTATGGTTTATGGCTGTTTCAAGCAGGTGGAGATATGGGAAGGTTAGGGGGTATAGCCACAGGGGAGTGGGTACAGTTTTGGGTACTAACATGACCCAAATATGATCTTCAGTATTTCACTTAGAAAGAAGTCCCGAAAATAAAAAGGCTGCATCTCAATTACTCCATTTATTTTAAAAATTGAATATCACTACGGGTGCTCATACTGTATCTGGAGTTTTGGCAGGGCTTTGTTTTTTGCTGCAAAACTTCTGCATATATACAGAACTGCTCAGGAAGTTCTTCCTCCCTGCCAAACCTCAAATAAAACTATCATACAATTTGGATTCAAATTCATACTTGAATTTTGTTAGGCACGGTCTTACTTTGATTCACAAAATTCTTTGCTAACTTCATTAGGTCTTGATTGCTTTTCACCAAGTCAGGAAAGGGAGAATGTTTCTGGAGTTTCTAAATGTGTTTGTCCGAAACTTTCGCAGTGATCACCCTTGCTTATTGGCAAATTTGTCCATGTTGACTAAAAAGCAAAATCAGAAATCTTTACAAGGGGACCTAATGTCATTACCATTTGGGAAAAAATGACATTTAGCAGTCCTGTAAATACGAATTTGTTTAACCTAAAGCACTACTCATGTTTTCGAGGGAATAAAAGCAAAAGTATCTGTTTTTAACTTGCAGTAAAAAGCAGTGTGGATTCTGAAATGTTGTGTTACTGATTTGTTCTGAAGCTGAATTGCAGAGAAATGCCACCCTGGCTTTTAGTGGAATAAATCCCTAAGTTGGATAAAAGTTGCCTTAGATTTGCCTGCTCTAGGCTAACTAGTGCTGAGGTTGAGCTACAAGAAACTTCACACTATTATGTTCACTAAATATGCCCGTTCTCTGCAACAGCCTTCAAATACCTGTATTAACGTACTGTGTCTAAAGATTGCATGTTAATTTGTTTACTAAAAATTAGTGTTGCTGATGCTACATATGATGCTGTTCTGTGCATTTTCATTAATAACTGATATGCATGGAGTCTTTTAAATTGGAAAAAAAATGAGAAGGATTTAAAAACTGGTGAATTTAAAATGGTTTTGGTTATATAATGAGGTTTCTTGAAGTCCACAAAGGATTTATGAAAAATTATAGTGAATATTGTCAGGCACTGAAAGTAGCTTGGTGTTGAGTAAGTTTAGTATCTCCTTGGTTTATTGTGTAAAAATTCTTGGACTTTTTAGTCAAGTATTTCTATCCGTTCCTGTGAAGCTCTGTTGGAGAGATTTCTAGTTTCGAAAGCAAACTCTGTATTAATAGGCCTCCATCATTTTTAGTGTTACGGCAGTGTCTGTAATGTGCTAGGTGATAGCTACAATGATTTCAAAGACACAAATTTCCTCTAAGACAACAGGCACCAAGTGAAGGAAGTCAGAGCAGGATACAGTGTACAAATTTTTGAATTAATACTAAAAATGCATCTATAGCCCTCATTTTTTGTTTATTTTATTCCCGTTTAATTCTTATTCATCTTAACAATTCAAGCAGGTACCCAATATCTCCCTGTGTGCCATAAAGCTGTATTGGACTGTACTAGTCATTGGGGAGACATTATTTCTCTGGAGGCCAGTGGTGCCAGCTTTCTATTAGGTCCATCAGGATAAAGGGGGTGCACTCTGTTCCACTTAGTGCATGCTGGAAAGCTAGGGTAATTCCTAAAATGCGCTGATGCTTTGCAATTTCTCCTCACCGCTGAGCAAGAGAAGCTGTCTTTTTTTTCTTTTTTTTCTTACCTTTAAATTATATTTAAGTAAGATTATAATTAAATGCATATAGAGAATGTTTAGAACATCAAGACCAGGTAACACACATGCTTATAAAAGATGCAAGTGAAGATACGTGCTGCACTTCAGCCTTGAGAGACTTTCCTGGTTTAATCTTACTGAAGTACAGTTTTTTTCTATCTGGATGACTTTGTAGGTCTCTTGGTAGAGCAGCCATTTGGATTTCTCTATTTGTGTGCCATGTACCCGAGATTGCAGCTCTTCAATAGAGCTTTCATCGCAGAATTCCTGTCTCTCTAGTCCAGGCAGAAAAAAAAATACAGCCCAAATGTCTTTTCGAAGTGGGGTGATGAGCAACTTTCATCCTTCACTTTACTCACTCCTGGCTAGAGCAAACGTCTAGCTGGTCTTAAATAAAGTAAGTGTGCTTGTGTTTCTCTTCTTGAGCTACACAGCATCCTTTGTACTTGACTGGCTAACTAGCAGGTTCTCATCCCGAAGAGGAGTAAATCTTTTGCTGTTCTTTCTGTTGACTAATACATATCTCAGTGTGAAGTGTGTTACATTGGTTCTTACATTCTCTCTAACTCTGCAAGTTAACAGACATACATAATACAAATACTGGTTGCTCAGCACTGGCTCTGGATTGAGTAAGACAGGGTAAAACTGTAGTTAACCAATGTGAGGCATGTGACGTCCAGTATTTTTCTCCTTGTTATACTGTAGCATTTTCAATAACAAGAATCTGGTAGAGTCCTCCTTCTGTTGTCTGTCCTAATTTTTTTTATATATTTGCATGTCTGAAGACAGCTGAAGTTAGGTATGATAGTGCAAAACTAATTGGGGTATATCACCAGGTAGAAGGATGGTTTCCTGATGATGATGATTTTAATGGGACAATAAGAGCTAGTTAAAGAACAAAATACCATCTCGAATGGTTAAGAATCTTGTATCAAAAAGGCTTGTTTCTTTTTGTGCTGGAACATGCGTTGTCTTCTGGTGTGCAAATTCAGGAAGGAGGGGATGTGGAATAAACTGAATTTTTTCAGTGTGTGTTGAAATTTCAGATGTTCTCACAACTCTAGTTAAATGCATCTCTTCTTTGTGGGATATTGCAGTTTGTGACTCTCTGTTCACTGTTACCTCAGGTAATTCACAATCAATCTGGCGCTGTGATTGCGAGGCAACAGATGAAAACTGTGGCTGCTGTTTTGATTATGCTGTAAAGCAGCACTTCAGGAATGTTAAAAAAGGTCTGAAGTGCATTAGCAGTATTTTGACCTTGATATATACCTTTGAACGGTTTTAAGAGTCCTGTTACTGTAAACCTGTTACTAAACTTGTGACTCGTGAGTGCTGTGCCCTGGGCAAATTACTACAAGTAGTTCACATAGCTACTGTCCTAGCTGTTTTTTCAGTATTTCTGTTAGAGCAGAGTCAACAGCAGTGAACACGTGCCTATTTCTTAGTAACTGTTCCTCTGACATGGTAGCAGGAGCACGGTGAATAGCTAAAGGAAAGTAGCACTTTAAAGTTTTAGAACAAGGTGGCATAGAGTTTTGAGTTGGAGCATTTAATTTTGGGGAAGACCAATGTGATTAAAGTTATCTCTGACCAGCATGAGTGAAGACTTTTTTATTAGAACATAGGAATACAAGGTGCAAGGGCAGTTAATTCTTGTAGGACATAGACATGGAAATATTAACAAATAAATAGTCAACCACTGAGCGAATTGGAAAAAAATACTTTTGATTTTGCACTTCTATGTAAAATCAGTAAAACTTGCTGCAAATTACAATTTCTAGTACAGCGCTACCCAAAGGTTCCTTATTGCTGCTGGCAGTAGCAACTCCAGCCCACGTGCTGTCACATGAGAGTGCATTTCGCTGCTTGGGCACTATTCTCTTTTTGCAATAGAGAGCCTCTGTAACTACGTTTTGGGAAGGACAACAACATTGTTGATTGGTTGTGGTGGGAAAGAGAAGTTGACGAATATAGTTGTACCTTCCTGAAGAAAAAATAGTTTTTTAAAAAACAGTGACTTGAAGAGGTATAAAAATATTTGTATTTTCACATCGTAAAGAAAACATAGGTGTTGCTTTTTTTTTTTTTCTTTTTACCAGATAAAAACTGTGACTTAAATAGCAATCTGGTCTTGTTGATAAAGTGGTTTTAATTTTTCCATTTTTTAAAAGTGTATAATTTAATTTTTTCGTTGCTTTTTTTTTTTTTCTTTTTACCAGATAAAAACTGTGACTTAAATAGCAATCTGGTCTTGTTGATAAAGTGTGTATAATATTCTCATCTGTATAAGTGTAGTAATGTAATTATGTCAAGAATCTCCACAGTGTGTTGCAATCTGTCTCATGCAGAAAGCATGGTATTGCATTTGTTTGTATTGCAGTAGCTGCTAAAAGTCTGGGATGGAGCCTGAATTTCTAATGTGATATGTACTCTACAAACACATAACAAAAGCATTGTTCCAAAATTTTTGTTGCAGACAGTTTTAAGATTCCACCCCACCCCACCCCACCCACCCCCCCGGTATCCTAAAAAGAGCTTGTAGTTTTATTTTTGTGGTTATAACTTTCACTTTGCCTAATATTCAGACTGATTATGGTATAAATTTCCTTTGCAGTTTACGTGTGAACTTGGACATGGGTAAGGCAGCCTATGGGTGGATGATTATGAAAGATGACAATATTCCTGGAACAGTTGTTCGAACTAGCACCATACCAGAAGAGTTGGGACGATTAGTTTATTTACTAACGGATAAAACAGGTATATCAGGTTACAATTCTGAAATACGATGACTTTTATAAAATTTCTAAACTTTCTACTATATTTGAATATGTTAATGTAAGAGTAGATTTAGACTACTGTTTTTTATTTTTCAGTAAAATTTTAAGCATGTGCTTGAGGACTTTGTAGTAGTACCAATAGGCTTAGGTAGGCCGGTATTTACATGCGAAAGTCAGTATTTGGTAGTAATCAGATGTATTCCAGTGGGAGCACTCCTGCTATAGTAACAGGACACTGGATAGCATTAGTAAGAGTACCATATATCTTACTCTGAAAAGACTCTGGATTAGCACTCAGGATGCGATTTTATTCTGCACCTCATTTCAACTGCAATATTGTATAATGGTAACAGTTAAGAATGGCCTCTGAGAGAGCAAGTCATTTCCAAAACAAGTCGTAAGATCAGCGTTCACAATGATACCTGTTATTCCCATGAAGGTAGTTGCTTTTTATGTTACAAAGACCAGTTCTAGAGCTGCTGCATGATTTCATGTTCATAACTGTAACCTGTTACTATACCTGACCTGCTATACTGGAAAACCCAACCCTTACCAGGATCAGAAGGTAGGTGAGTGTGTGAAGAGCTTGTGCTATGCTGCTGTCTGCCGTTATGACTGAAACTAGTTACAGTCTTACCATGCTCTCAGCTCGAGATATATTTAAGGAATCTTAAAGTTTATTTCAGAAAATATAATAAATAACAAGTTAAATTCTGTAGCAAATACAATATTTCTTCTCCTTTCTTGGTTCTTTTGGAGATTGAATAAATCAGTTCTGGTAGACATACTGTTTTTTAAGAAGCTGAACTTTTGAACTGAGAAAGTTGTTTCTCAAGCAGCTGAAGAAAGTTTTTAGTGGTTTTAAGTAAAATATAGTTCAAAATGGTGAGAAAGTGTTGGGGGGGGCAGGGGTTGGTCTCTGTTACACTGTTCAGAAAGCGTAATACACAGTTTACATCTCTTTCTGCTTGAAATAGTTCAATGTTCCCTCCCATGGTGAACACTTACTGCGTATTTTGAAGTGAGATGTAAATTTAATATATTGTCACATTTTCAAAATACACCTTCATTTTTTTCTACAGGTACATATGTACCCTATACATTTCTGAATGCTGTTCTTCTATTTTGTAAACGATAGACAACTGCCACCTTCTTTCTTTAGCATGTAGAAAAGTGTTTTGCTAATTATAGTGTGGTAATTCTTCAAAGCAAGTGAACAATTCTTCTCTTAAGTTTTATTTCAGTTAGCTAATGATTTGTATGCTGTTTGAAACTGCTTATTGATTTTAATTGCACACTTCATCATGATAATTTATGTAACTTTGAGTGCTGTCTCATCGAAGGCTTAAAATATGTAATTTACAGCATATGTTTGGAAAAAGGGAAGTATGTTCAAAAATAACGAATTTTCAAAACAATGCAGTAGAGTTCATTTGCTCAAAGCACTACTTTGTAAGCAAAAACAATGTATACCTCAACTTTTCTGATAGAGAATCCAGTTACCATACCAAACTGGAAATACGGTTCAAGTGTTGAGGTATTCTCCTTATGGTTAGACTGTACTGAAAATTTTAAGAGGCTTCCTAAATAAAATGCTAACAGTTCATTCACCCAGCTCTACAATGCAATAATTATATTTTGACTCTGGTGACTGGCTGATACTCTGAGGCACAAGGGTCAGTGTACTATATTCTTTTCCTCAAGCTGTATGTACCTACTACCTGTTGGAAAAAGAAAAAAAAAAAGCTGCTACAGTTCTACTCCTAGAAAGACAACCAATACACTTAAGGTAATACAACAGTAATTAAAACCAAAGTTTTTCTCCTTAAAAAAAATATTTTTTTTGGCAACATAAAATTTAGTGATACTGGGCTTTTCAAAGCAGAAATACTGTGTTACATCTATAAGACTTTGAAAGGATACATTTTATTGACTTGCATATGCAAAGAGAAAGAACCCTGTTTTGCTTCTAATCATTTTTGGGGTTTTTTTTCAACCAGCATCATGCCACTTGCAATCACAGTAGTTGTGTTTAAGAAGCAGCACTTGTATTCTGGCCTTTCAGAGTGCATACGTAGAAGGGGCTAAGTAGACAAATATTAAAAGGCTTTTACCAGCAAATGCGTTTATGTATAGTTCAGAAGATGGCTAGCATTCAACCTCAAAGGCTTTTCAGAGCGCTGAAGTCTACTGAGTTCTGGAGGAAGGTCTGCATCTGTAAGTTAATGATGTAAAAATGAAAATAAAAGCAGTATTCTAGGGCAGTCGTTCCAAAATTTTGGGCTAACAGTCAACAGTTGCACCCTATGCGCTTTTATCCAAGTGTTAGCTGAAAGCTGATGTAAGTGAAAATAACCCTGGAGTCCAGCAGATATCGTCAGCTTCAGAACGCTGACTGTGGCCTTGCAGACTACGCTGTTCTTCAGATTGTGATGGGAAACACTGCTCCATTTTATTAGTCTTAAATGCCCTGCAAATTTTAAACTATTTTTAGTTCTGGACAAACATGCAGCCAATGTACCTTTTACCTGAGTATATTGGTAGCTGCCTCCAGTTTCCTTTCCTGAATACATTTGGTCTTACTCTGCATTTTATCCTAAATGTGAAACATACTGTTAGGTAATGAACAGAATCTGTACAGTTAATCAATGATTGCCATTGCATGATTGTACACAGTTCATGAGAGCTGGCTTCAGTACTTTCTCGCTTGAATTTTCAGTTCTAGTCATATAAACCAGTTGATTCTGTTCTTCTGCCTACTTAAGGCTTGGTTGTCAGAGGAGAGAGAAGAGAGCGAGTTTTGTAGCCGTCCATCCAGGTGGGTGCTACAAAAAAGCAGGACTAAGAGGCTGGTCTAGTTAAATGTAAACAGGTGAAGTTTTTCTCAATATTGAAAATGAAAGGGAATCCAGAGAACCGTCTGCAAAAATCTTACATTGTGGTCCAAGCTTCACTGGAAATGATTGAGAATTAGTTGTTGAGTCTAAGGAGCATTGCATTACTAACATAATTGCAAGGTAGTCCTTTGTATGATTGTAAATTGGGTTTGTGCTTCATCAATAAGCTTTTTGACAAGAAGCGTCCATCACAGTGGCTCTCTCATTTGCCACAGTAGAATAGAAAATGAAGTATCCCAATAATTGCATTATAGTTTCCTTATTGTGGGACAAGAAAGCAATGTGGTATAATTAGGTTTGATTGGAGTGCATGTTTCCGGTAAGATCTGAAATTAATGATGTTGCTATAGTGACACATCTGCGGCCACCAGTGCGTGAAACATAAAGTAATTCATTCGACAAGAGAAGACATCTGTTAACTGCAAGGATGCAGAGCATATTGACACTGACCAGAAATACTAGACGTTATGTGATAAATGAACAAATGATGCTGAAACAGGAGGACAGATAATTTGTACTTAATCTGCTGGGAGAACTTTAATCTTCTCACTGGTTGCATTTGACAATGCCATTGTTTAAAGAACAATGCTGCAGAGAACTCATAAATTTTAAAACTTAACTCAGGGTGCAGCCTATTAAAGCAATACATTAATTCCTTTGTTAGGGAGTTTTTATCTTCATGTAGAACAAAGCCATTACTAAAAAAACCCACTAAAACAACAGGTTTTTTAGGACTCACATTTTAATTATAGCATCCATTACCCAAAATGCCATGTTGTTTGGACTTGAATCACATATAAGTTTGACAGAAAGGCGTCATCCGTTATGGCGGGGGGGGCAGGGGGGCAGTTACAGGGGGGAGTGGTTTCCAGCATTTTCCAAGGGCAGATGAGCATATCTCATCCTCTTCAGGGTACAAAAAGATTCTAATCCTGAAAGAAAAGTAAAGATATTTGGCAATATTTATTGAACATCATGTTGCTTAGGAAGTGGGATGGCAAACCTGCTGTTCACGACAACTATCAGAGTATTCAGCTAAAACAAACGCATACAGTCTTCCAAGCGTAGTTATTTACTAATGCCTACACTTGTATCTGAATTCTGTAATTAACATTTTCGCGGGTATTTGGACCAAATGAGATACTTAACAGATGTAATAGTTGAACAGATGCATGGAGCAATGGGATTCTTGATTTTCTGGGAAAGCCTTGTGTTAGAGGTTGGTATATATGGGCTTTTTCATTAAATGTGCCTAATGTAACGTACTGTTAGAATAGTGAATTTCAGTAATTGTTTCTGAAAATTTATCTTTTAAGGTATACTTTAATTGAGTCTTTTTCTGTTCAACATAAGCTACTACAGAGAAAGAGTAATTAAAAAAATGCTGATGGAATAACCTTCTCACTTCACTTCGATGGATATATATTCACGCTATTGCCCTTACGCAGCTTCTACGTCTATGATTTTTAGTACCACTAAGGTTGCAGAGTGAGTAGAACAGACTAGGAATGGAAAGTTTTGATGGAAAGATCCTAAAGGAAGCTTCCAGACATGCACTCAAAGTAGGTCAGTCAAAGGAATCCTTGCTTTGTGGCTTCTGTTGGACTCCCATCGTCTGAAAATACAAGGTGTATCCAACGAGTATGGATGTTGCTCTTAGATATTGCTGTCATTCTTGTGGGAGGCAGAAGGCGAAGAGGAAATACTACTGCTATTCATAACTGTGTTAACTGTTACCTCTACTGTTACCTTCTGCCCAGGAAAGAATAAACATATCTCAGCTCCCATAGTGGGTTGTACTGGGGTTTGTTTGGTTTGAGGTTTTGTGCTGGTTATGTTTATGGCCTGTTTGAAAGTGGAGCAGCTAAGTGAGCAGACGTATTCTATATATGTGTTTACAATTATTTTTTAAATTTTTTTTAGATTCTATACCAGGTTATATTTTTTCCAGGTTTCATAGAAAGAATTTGCATCTCCAGATTGTTGCCAAGTCTAATTATTAAGAGCGTTGGGCCCTATCTCCCTTAAAGTTTCTATAGAAATGCTCACATTTACACTGACTTTTTATCTGTTTAAGCAAATAGGTCAAACAAAGTACTCATATTTTATAAGTTACTCACCTTCTCAATTTCTCACAAAGTTATTAATTATTCTTCTGTACATATTTTCTTGCCTTTTTATTTTGGCCCTTTTAGATTGTTGGTATTGGTCCAATTTACCATCTAGTAATATAGGATCAGAAAGATCTGCATCTGCTTCTCAAAAACAAAATAAAACCTCTACTGCTTTGTTGTGAATCACATCTGTTGCCACCCAGGGAATGATGCCTTCAGGACTTTTTCCTTAGAAATTAATTTCCTCTTTGCCTGCTTTACTCTGTGTTTAATGATACAATTGTAGGAAAAAAAAAAAAAAAAAAAAAAAAAAAAAAGAGCTCTTGGCTTCATTAAAGAACATACTAAATTTTTCTTCAGCAATTGTATACTAACTTTTTGTCAGGATATTTTGCTTGTGTGGTACCTGCATTCCAGAGCAAAGTTTAAGAATGTAGAATAGTAGTAACAGATCATATATTGACTAGCATAGTTTCTGGAAGCTTTTCTAAAATAAGCTTTTTTTTATCTAATAACTCTTCATATTAGCAATGTCCTGAAAGCGTGGAATTAGGTCTTGAAAAAGCATTATTAAAAATAGAAAGGTCTTTCACTGTTCTTTAGTCCTTGCCACCTTGAGCAGACTAGGGAGCTCACTTTTGGGTTGGTTTTTCACTCCTAAAGTGGGCTTTATTAGAAAATCTACCTCTAGATCTTTGAAGGGCTTGCATTTTGGGGCATAAAGTAAAAGATGTGTTGTTCTGTCAAGGTGTATTAGTCTTCAACTAAAAGACTGACATTTAAGACAGAACTGCTGCTAAAGTTATAACATGACTGACTGGCACCATGTAATATTTGGAACGAGTTGTTTGGAATGTTTCTGTCCCATCTTGGGTGTTTCATTCATTAGAATAATTTAGAAATAAATTCTTAATTTGCACACGTGGTAAAACTTAACTTCCATGTGGATGACTGAAAAAGGTGTAGTTTGTTTTATTTTTTTGCAGAAATTTTTGGGAGCACTTTCATAAATGCAACTACCGATGTTTGTCTAATAACATGGCAGGTTTATTGGGACTATTGTTAAGCCTTACACTTAAGCCTTACACTTAAGCCTTAAGAAGGATGAGCAAACTGTAATTGTTTTTTTTCTTTCTTTGTTGTTTTAATTTTTTCTTTGGATTACAATTTTGTGTAGCAGGTACAGGTGTTTTTGCAGCCTCTTTTTGGCTGTCATAGATGTTTCCTGTTACTGTAGCTGATAAAAAGGATTGTATAAGTAATGTACAAGATGCAAGTATTGAATCAGGATTGTCAGAATGTTTATTTCCCTGTCTTTACAAGTTGATTCTTTTTCCTCGCCTATTTTTCCTAAACCTCCTGATTGTTGCAAGATAGAAAAATCCATACTCTTCTGCTCAGAAGCTTTTCTTCTCTGCTTGCTGAGAAGGGGTTGGCAGGGGGAACACACAGATTTTTCCACCTATCTACCTTTCCCTCACCAAGCATGGTTTGGAGTTGGACTGATTTAATGGTGTCAGAAGAAATAATCTTTCCATATAATAATCATAGGTCTAATTTTGTTTCCTGCTCAGTTTTTCCAAGCAGCAATTACAGAACTAGTGGCAGGCAGGTTTGACAGTTGCCTGCTGTCTCAGTTTTGAGTAACATTTAGTTTCACAACTCCTAGGGAGTGTTTATTTTAATTCAAAGGCTTGGCAAAGCTAAGGGCAGTGAGAAGATATTAGCATGCCTGGAAAGTAAGGAAGGTGATGCAGATTTACTTGGAAATTTCTTGCAATAAACATTATTGAACAAAGTGGGTGGGTTTTGGTTTTGTTTTGTTTTTTTTGGTTTTTTTTGTTTTTTTTTAGAAATAGAGATTTTGGTCTCTCATGTTTGTTAGTGGAAACCGTCGTGTTTCCCCAGTGCAAATTGGAGATTGGATTTTTCTAGTCTGTAATTAAAGTAAAAAATTTAATCAACCAATTTAACAAAAGGTGTCAATAAAAGTACGGCTTCTAAAGGCAGAAGAAGTAATTTCTCATGGTTTTATATGATCACTGTAAAAACAAAATAATCTTCTTATCCCTTGTATAAAAGTAACCAAAAATTTCTGACTTGCTAATTCTAGAGAATTTGTCTTTGTCTTCCTGGGCTGTTTTCCAACCTTGGGAATAGTCTACTACTTGTGAATTTTTGATAATGCTATGCATATAGAATTTATGCATTCCATGTAAACCTTATTTTAAATATTTTTTAAAATTCAAATAATACAACTATAGAAAAAAATCCTCAACAACATATAAGGAAAAGCAAATGGGAAGTGTCATTTTTTTAATGATAGAGGGGGAATTTGGAATGATCATCTAGTGCTGGTAATACAGGAAGACATGGTTTGATAGTGCAGTGTGATTGTACAACAATTGAGATGAAGAGTCACTGTACAGATATTACCAGGGAGTAGGAATGGCAGACATCTCAAGTATAACTGAGAAAGACGTGAGACTTTTACAGCCCTACTGAATCTTTGAAGATCACTAGTGGTTCTAGCCCTATTAGGTGCATAAACTGGATGGTAACTGTCCAAACAGTTCTGTTTTCCAGATAATAATTATAGCTTATATCTTGCTTTCAGTCTTCTCTCTTCCTGTGGCTTACTGTGTATTTTAACATACTGGGACAAAGACATGATATAAAAATAGTCTAGATAAATAAAATTAATACGACATATTTTCAATTTTTATTTATAGATAATTATCATGTCTTCCATGTTAAAAATATTGTGGAAGCTTCAAGAATGTCACTTTTGGTACCATGTTGTGTTTATTTTTTTTGCCATCAGATTTATGCATTTTAATGACCAGAAACTGTGTGCTTAAATATAAGAATAGCTTTATACTATATTAATTTCACTTCAGCTGAGTAACCGTAGAAAAAAAGTTTTAGGAAGGGCCATTATCAAAATAATCTTTTGTGAGCTGACCATGGGAAGCTAGCTGGTAGTGACCTCTTTTTGCCTGATGTGCCCCATCATGGAAGGCTGAAGCCCCCACTCCTCAATTAGAGCTGTTCCAAACCAGAGGATGTGACTAGTTGGCAGAGGTGGACGCGAAGTGTCAGTCTGTGAGTGACACCCTGTAGTTTCTTACAAATGTGAAGTGAGCTCTGAAAACACTAATTTCATTCATTCTGGCTTATTCCGGTTGGAGGCTAAATCTGTCAAATTTGGAAGTGATGTTAGGTCTTAATGACTTACTCTAGATAATGTTGAATGTGCCCATTTGCCAGAATGTCTGCGTTCGTACACGAAGCGTGGGATATCTGTATGAATTTTGGGAGTTGGGTGGGTTTTTTTGCTTTAGATTTTCTGATACATGGTGCAAACTCTTGCATTGACTTTTGAGAGTTAGTTCCATCCAGATACTGCATATTCTATCTTTCATATGAAGACAGAAGTTTTTGTCTTTTTTCGAGCTTGTGTATTTAGTTGTGTTGGCAGAATCAGCTTGAAGGTGGAACCAGTGATTTCTTCCAGTATGACTAACCCTGATCTTTCTCCACAAACATTCCTTTAATTAACTAAACTGATGCTAATTCATGATTCATTCCTCTTTTCCAAAAGAAAGATTTCAGGGGTTTTTATGTGGCCTTCTCAACCATATTTTTTGCTGCTTTGTGATGTACTTCTTCTTTATTACAGGAACACTTACACAGAATGAGATGATATTTAAGCGCCTCCACCTAGGTACTGTGTCCTATGGAACAGACACAATGGATGAAATTCAGAGTCATATTATAAACTCTTATTCACAGGTATCTCATTTCATAAATCATTTACCTTTAATATTGAGATTTTTTTTTTTACCAGCATTGAAGCATTGTTGTTACCGATCATGTCTAGAAATTCGAGATGCTATGCAAGTTTTCATTGTAGGTATCTCTTAACAGATATGAAAGGGAAAAATGTGAGACAGTACGTAGTTCTCTCCTTATTCTGAAGTTCCTTGTAATACCCACTTAAAGGATTTTACTTTTCCCCACTAGCAGAAATCTGTGTTAACCTGTCTGTGCAGTGCAGTCTTTCTCCTGCCAAATCATCTAAGAGTAAGCTATTCATTACTGAGACTACAAATTACAAGGAAGTGTCCAGAATGAGATGAACAATAATTATGTCTTTGAAGATATTAATCAAGAATAGACATCGAAAATCCACATTAATTGGTATAACGAAAAAGTAAAAAATAGTTGTCAAAATAAAATTTAGAAAGGCATATCTACAAAGTGTTTTTAAAAAAAACTAGGATTGCAAACAGCATAAAGCTGGGGGGGCGAGGCGGAGTAGAAAATTCCATATTGCTCGCGAGTGAAGTGTTCCTGTGATATATAAGAGTGCTTGGTCTGGAAAGTATGTAAGAGGATAGTGGCTCCCTGTCTGTCTGTGGGTCAGTTGTGGGATGAAGGAGGAAGATGGAATTCTGCAAGCATCACTTGCATTTCCCATGTATGTAAACTATTTGGGTGCTTTCTGCAAACCTTTCTAAGCACCCGATTCCTCTCTGAGATTAGGAAGGATTTTTTTACTTCTACTATTTCTGTTCTTTGAAACAAAAAAGAAAAAAATTGACAGAAGAGGAAATAAATGATAGGTTAACTAATGTTTCCATATGTTGCATACAGTATAATAAAAAAAAATTATATAAAATTTCTTTTCTGTAGTTAACTTGGATATACAAACATGACTGGCTGACCCAGTTAAACTTGTAAACTGACCTCCTTGTCTGTGTCCTCATTTTCTCTTGTAAAAGGATTGTAGAATCAACAATTGATTTGAATCTTTAGTTGTGCTGGTTTTGAACTATGGCTCCCTTCTCATTTGCTTAAAATAAAAACTAAAAAGTAGCTGTTTGGCACCACACTGGACTCGGTTAATATTATGCAGCTTTTGGGAAGGGAGGCAGGAGAGAAAGCAGTGAATAAACAATGTATAAGTTTTTAGTCTGCAACTTCAATTTCTGTATTATTTCCTACCACTTCTTGAATTCCTTTTCCTTGGATAGATCTATTTCAGCTTAATCCTTAGTAGGTATAGCCATGAATAGTAACTTAGATGCAATAATACGCCTTGGAAATGAGATATGGAGCTCTTTACCTAAAAATCAGCAGTCCAAATTTGGTTCAGAATGGGTTACTGAAAGTAATTGCTACCTGACTGTTTTGGGGGTTTTTTGTTGGTTTTTTGTTTTTTTTTTTTTCATAAAAATCACCCAAACATAGTTTTGTTGTAATGGGTTGTTTGGGTATTTACAGTAACAACTGTAGAAATAAATGCTATTAACTGACAGTCTTGAGCTGGCACACTAGGTCTGACTGAGTTTGATGACTAAGCACCAGTCTTCTAGAGGAGGCATATTCATTAACACTGTTTTCATATTTTGTGGTTAAATATGCTATCTGAAAAGAATTGCATGATTCCTGGAATTCTTACTTGCTTAATGCTTTTACTAGTTTGCTGTAAAATTTAGTGAGTGGTACCCATGGTTAATTAAGTTTTCAATAACTGTAACATATTTGGCACTGAAATTTTTTTAAAAAAGAAAGAAATGTGAGGGCAGCTTTCTTCTCAGTTGTTGGAAAAGATTTCCCAAATCTAGATTTGCTGTTAGTAGATGATGGAAAGAACTTTCCTGGAACTTCCTTTTTTTCAGCTTCATGTAACACTACTTGAAGTTTAAATAATGCTTTAATTATGCATGTGTTGGTAGCAACTCTTTAAAACAGAAAAATGAAGGAAGCTCAGTAACAAAACAAGCAACTATTAAACAATTGTTTCAATCTGAAAAAGTATGGTGAGGTTTTTATTTAATCTATGATAATAGAAGCTGCCAGTTAGCTAGGCAGTGGTTCTTGTGTGACATCGATTTTATCCCTTGTTTGTGTTCTGTTTTATTATTACAGTGGACCTACTAGACTATTGTCATCTTAATGTAACACACAAATCTATTATAACCTGATTATATTTCCCCACTGGAAGCATTTTGTGATAGAGGGCATAATCTTTAATGGAATTTGTGTGAAATTAAATTATACAAGCATCAATAAACATAACATAATTCAGAAGGAGTAAATCAGCTTAATTTATTTGCGGCTGTAATGGCATCAGCGTTAGCAGAATGCAAATGCAGAAGTTTAAAGCGGTAGCTGAAAAGCAGTGCCAGATGAGCAGAAAGTTAAACCCTTTATTAGACAACACTGTAATTTGATGGGCAGAATGTTCACGGGATAGCAGTCAGGAGGAGAAAAAAATGTGGTTTCTGAAGAGGTTTTCTGAGTTACCCTGGAGTGAACATAAGAGCCTTTGGTAGTACTGCGATATATTTAATGTGCTGACTTAAAAAAAAAAAAAAAAAGTCCAATAAAAGCCAAAACAAAAAACCAAACCCACTTATTTTCAATTAATTATAAGCATATAGTACTTTCTCTTAAAAGATTAATTCAATCATGTACTTGAACATTTTTGAAGGATAACTTAAAATAGTGCTAGTTTACTGGTTATGCATAAGTAATGTGATCTTCAAATATGTGGTATTTTGCATGATTATTTTGTTAGATATTGCATTCTTGTAAGGACAGATTTCAGCCTGCAGCAAAGGAATAAAAACTGCATTAGTTCACAAAAAATATAGAAATTGTGTAGGTTATAAATAAAATCAGCAATATTTGTATTTTAATGACTCCTAATATTTATACTTAACAATGATACTTGCTTTTGTTCTTTTGTTCCATACCAATGTGGTGGTCTTTAAAATACAGAGCTTTAGGTGAAGATTTAAAAGAAAAGATTTTTTTCAATTTAGTGGCATTGGAGTTTCCAACCTCTGAATGTACACAGGTGACAGAGACTAGAGAAGAACAACAAAACACCACCCTTGCAATTTTGTTTTGGTGTTTCTGAACTCATCCAATTGGTTGGTGGCTTAAATACTTTTTATAAAACAATTCATAGTATGTAAAGGACTATTGTGACGCATCACTGAAAAAGGTACATTCTGAAGTGAGGAAGCAGGGTTTTCTGCAGAATCCAGTCAGCCTATTCACCCCTTTTACTGCATACTCGCTTTCATTTTGCATTTTTCAATTGGCTGCAGGCCCTGACTACAAATGCAAGGTGATGAACCCAGACTTATGTATCAGTTCTACAGAAAAGTAGACGAGGGTTTTTATGGATCACAAACTGAATGAGTTAACAGTAGGTTATATAAAATAAATAAACAGTAACAATCCTTATCATTTATCAACCTTTGTAAAGGAGGCAATCGGATATATATATTAGTATTCATGTTTTATTTCCATTATTGAACTTTGTTTTGCTATTCATTTGTGTTGGGTCTCAAAGGTGCACTCTCAGAATAGTGGAAACAGTACAAGTTCAACACCATCTAGGAAGCCTCAGTCGTCTGCACCCAAAGTCCGCAAGAGTGTCAGCAGTCGAATACACGAAGCAGTGAAGGCCATTGCACTGTGCCACAATGTGACCCCAGTATATGAATCCCGGGCTGGTGTGTCTGGAGAAACAGAATATGCAGAGGTGGATCAGGACTTCAGCGATGAAAATCGAACTTACCAGGCTTCCAGCCCTGATGAGGTTAGTATGCAAGGGTGAAAAAAATAATGTCTCATAAAGAACAGGATAAGCTAAATTAAAAAGAGCAGAACTGTAAAAGAAGAGTGTTTTGGGCTGGGGTTTCTTTAAAATTAGCAGTAATCTGGTTTTATTTCCTCTACAGCTGTAGGAAAGATCTGGTGTTTCTTTGTTACATAAAAGTGTTTTCAATTATTTGACTAAAAGGTCTGTGAAGTCACTGCTTTGGGATCAATACTGTGTTGAGTATTGCAATTAAAGTTATTAGGTGTATTCTCAAAACATTCATCCATGTATGAATCATAGCATATACATGCCAAAGGGAGTATGAACCTACTTTGAGTGATGGACAACCAGGTACGTTAGATAGACACTACCAGTTAGTGGAATATATAGATTGTTAACAGGAGAAGAAGAAAAAAAAAAAACCAACAACAACAAAAAAAACACCCTCAAATACTCCTGTAGAAAAGCTTTTGAGCTTCAAACCCTAGGCAGCTTCATAATCTTCAGGGTTCAGTCAAAATGGCCTCAAGTGTAGCACAAATTTAAAACCCCATTTCAATAAAAACACGCATTTGACTTCCATTGAAATCCAAATTTTAAACAAATCCCACTGCTTTCAGTGGATTTGAGTTATTGTTCCAAATAATCCTGTTTCGGGGCCTAAATCGATTGCCTAAAATTCGATCTAAAAAGATATTGGAAGAGAGAGGCAAAGCTCAAGTTTCAAGATACTGCAAACTAAGCATAAAAAATAATTATAGCCCATTCACTTTATAAAAACAGGTATGTACCTGATACAGCAAAATAGAGAAATAAAGTATTTTGAGGTTTGCTTGCCTCTGAAAGTGAGCAGGTTGAGGGGCGTCTTTGTTTTAAAGAAATTTTAGCAGTGTCTGAAGCTTGGATGTACTGTTGGTGGTGTAGCCATGGTAGTTCAGTCATAATCAAAACAAGGTGGTTGTAAGATGCAGAGGGAGTGTGTGTCTGAAAGCCTGTATATTTTACTAGCTGTACGAGTTGATCTAATATAAGATAATATTTCTTCCACAAACCTCATCTTGCCACATCTTAACCACTATTCTTGGTATACATTTGGTTTACATATCTAATATATCACTACATGTAATACTAATGAAACTTTAGCAATTCAGACTGAAAGCTGTAATTGCTAAAAGTAACAAGTCTGTAACAAGTATTTTTAGGCATGCAAGGAATAAAATTAAGTCTGTCTTACATTCCATGTATTTGAGGTGCTATAAGCACAGTTCATAGTGTCAGAGGATTGTAGAATATGAAGAAATGGCTGGTTCTCAGTGATTAAAAAGTGGCAATCAGAATATTTTTTAAAAATAAACTCTAGGCAGGACTTGAGACGCTGCTCTTTGGCTAAAATCAATAATCCATAATACTGTATGTGGTGTTACATAGTGTGGGTTGATCTGCGTTACGAATTGAGAAAGCTGGAAGTGCATTTATTTATGCCAGAGATATACACTGTAAATATAGTTAGTGTAGTTGTATAATGTTTGACCTGTGTTATGCACATGTGTACAAATTTTCATATGCACATATATTCATATTTGCTAAATAGATCAGTGTAATGAGCCAGTGAGGTATTATTAAATATAATGAAAAGACTGCATGTGCAAGTATATGCCTATGAAGATACCATGACAGCTATGGATTAAGTAAACACTCTACCATTTAGCCAAAGGTATCACTAAATCAGGTGAAGAGACGTGCAATTGAGAGAGACTATATGAGTGTTTTTTCCCACTTGCTCTTCTCTCCCTGTGGGCTTTTGTATATTCATTCAGTTGTTTGGAACCTGAAAATATTACCATAAAGAGCAATTCTTCTCCCATATTTTCTAAAGGAAACAGCTGTAAGACTTGAGAATTATGCAAGTGGTACCCTGGGAAGACAGTAGGGAATTTGACCTTGAAAGAGGAAAGGAAAGTTGATAAAGTACTAATACGACAGATCTGGGACTCAGGGTGGACAGGGAAGTGGAAGAGGAAATCAGCAACAAAGAAACAGTTAGTGCTTCAAGGAAGAGAAAGCACAGGTATCTTTTTAATAATGATTTTTTTTTTTTTATCATCTCGACTCATACATTCAAACTATATGACAGTGAAATGAAAAACTTACATTTTTAGAACAGACAGCATTAAATTTCCTTTTTGTTTCTCAAAGGTAATGCTTGAAACACTAGTAAAATTATCATGTTGAACAAATATGTTTTAATATAATGAGAAATTGATGCTAAATGGAGTCTTATAAAAAGATGAAGCTACCAAAAAACATTTAAACAGCATAAAAATTGCAGCATTACAGCAAAAAGCCTAAGAGTTGAAAGACTAGCAGGTCTTTATCATAATTTTTTAAAGAGTTCTATTGATGCAATGTTTGCAAATCACTGGAGCCTAAGGAAAATAATGTAAATGGTTCATTATTTAGCTTATTGAACTTTCCTGCAGTTAGGTTGACGGATGATGCCAATGTTTCCCAATCACCGAAGTACCATTTTAAAAGCATTTTTTATTGAATAAAGTGCTTTGAATATTGCACCCTGGAGCTTTATTTAGGGAAATGGTTCAATTGATGTTTTCTGTTTAACCTCAGCACTGACCTATCACAACATATTTGGTTAATAAGCAACATTATCATTTAATAGACTTAACCAGTTTTATGCGTTGTACTTTCTCAACATTACAACTCTGTTCTCTTAGATTTTGTTTATGGATCTGGCTTGATTGCAGTCTTTTGAAAGAAGATGTTATTTGCACAGTTGTCTGTTGCGTTATATAATACTGCGTGATATCACCATAGCATATAAAGAACAGAGAACAATGTGTAAGTGGAAACTATTCTTCCATGTAGGAAAGTATAAGAAGCAGTTTAGTTATACGTTGACACACCGTACACTTAAAGAATTGACTTGAGGAATTCATTTGAAATTCTTCACATCTGTGAGTGTATGAGTGCATCCATATACAGATAAAATATAACCATAACAAAGTATGCACATTTAGAAGTAGGTACATTCATCATAAAAGATGTATTTATCTATTGTTAGAGTAACCTGAGATAAGTAACTGATTTTGTATTCATAATGTGAACCCTACTTATGCCAGGCTCTTTGTTTCTTATGATAAGTGATCAATATTTCATTTTCTCTGAAAGAGTGGAAAGTTTCATTTGTCTGTCACTTGTCCTCTACAGCTGTAGCATAGCAAACAATAAACATTCACTGAGAACTCACTGAAAAAAATGGAAACGGCTCCTACTTGGCCATCATAGGTGTGGGTTCAGCACATCTGTAGAAAGCCAGCTACCTTAATGTAATGAACAATCATAAAAGGATATAAGCTAAGTAGGTAAAGCAATGGAGGTCAGAGGTCACAGACCCAAGCAATTCAGGGCCATGCTATGAACAGGAGCCTTTGAAGACCTTTGCTCCCCTTGGTCAGAAAAGATTGATCAGTCACCATTTTTAATGACTGCTTACTCTCGTAAACCAGCTATTTATTGGTTATGCTTTGTCCTGCACTGTTATATTCTCAAGCATTTCTAATTCCAGGATTTTGAATATTTAAATACTACCTTAAAGTGTGGTCAGTTATTTAATTCCAACGTTTCTGTCCAGAGACAACAGAGTTGCTAAAATTAATTACAAGGATACAAAGCCAATCATTTAAAAACAGACAGGGAAATGATATGCCCTTAGTGAAGCAGCTTTTGTGTTTACAAAAGTGAAGCTGTAATGTATGAGACATGTTGTATTGTTTAATTCATTTTATTGTGTGTGCTTATTGAAGCAAGACTAATTGTGTTGTTTTGTCAATGTATTGTGAAAAGCAAATCACTCAGCATAAAACCATCACTTTCATGACCTTCGAGACCCACAAAGAATAACTACTCCATAGCTTGTCTTGAATATTGATCAGCAGTTTTTTCACATGATCAAGCTGTATTTTTAAGTTAATAATTTTATTTTAATTATGAAGTTTCTCGATGAAAAGTGATGGACTACAGATGTTAGTTATCAAATCATTGTTTATAAATATAAACAAACCAGTGCCAATTGGAAACATAGGTGAGTTGTTGTTGAACAATCCAAGTGGAAACTGTCGGGAACACTCAAAGAAATCTCACTGCTTCTTCCCTGTTTCCAAACCAATAGCTTTAACTTCAAAGTATCACACATGTAACCTCTGTGTACCTTACATGGCAACCTGATTTTGAAAGTAGATCCTATTGTCTGAAGTGAAGATGCTCTTAAATACTCTGAAATAAAAGAAGGTGGGTTACATGAGAATTCTTCTAAACAGCAAAAATAGCTTACAAAATTTCCATCCCTAGTCCTTCTTTCTCACCCTACAAATTCCTCCCTCATATATGCCAAAACCTTCGAAGCCTTTATTTATATGGGTCATTTTTCAGTTTAAGTGGTCAGGTTCATAGCATGGATTCAGAAAAGCTGTCAGCACAACTGTGAGGGAACTCCCAAACTGCTGGATGGGGTGGAAAAGAACTGCCAACACCAGCTGCGAGGCAGTGGATCTTTTTCTTAAACTGATGTTAGCTCAAAAAGGACTATTGTATGTTGAAAGTGACGGTTAGTTGGTCGTAATCTGTTTTGAGCAACACTTAGTAAATATTGAGCAGTTAGATATTTCTGCTCGGGAACAGCAATGGCAGACTGGCCCATGAGGAAAGGGAAGCCGGGAGCTGAGCATGATAGACCGGCTGCTTGAGGCAGTGGCCTCAGTGATGAGGTGTACAGCCCCACAATATCCAGGCAAGGTGAAAAGAGCATGTCCCATGATGGAAACCAGAGACAGTCAAGAGTATAGATTGTGGTACGGGTCTGTGGTGGTGAGGCACGTCTGAATTCAAGCCAAGAAGTCAAATCATTAAGTCAGGATCAGGTCCTGAGACAGTAACCAGCATTAGCCACAGTCTGGTGATTGCAAGGAAAGTTCATGGCAGTGAGGCAGGTCCGAAGTCAGGAGGTCATGTCTGCCTATCAGGGCCGGGTCAGCAGGGTACGTGGCCAAGTGTGGGCATAGCTGCAATGTGACTGCAACGCAGCTCTTGCCGGACCAAGCCTGAGGGCCGAGTGCAAGGGGGAGGGCAGCCTCCATGAAGGCTTCTTCGAGCTGTTTCTTCATCACAGCTCTTAACAGTGGCCTTGAACGCTGCTGGTTAAACTCCTAGGAAGGAGGGTATGCTCAGGGCCTTGACAGCTTCAGCCTAAATAGGGTTTTGAATATTTTTTCATAGAAATACATTGCTATTCTGTCTTGGTTGATACAAGGTTATGTTTGAGTCAAGTAAGTATCCAATCTCTGTTTCAATTTACTCAAGCTAATAGTGGGGCGGGTGGTTGGGTGGTTTGGTTGTTTTTTCACTTCTGCTTTCTCTCTCAGAAAATTCTATTATAAAAAAAAAAATAATTAGTGGATTAGGTTCATAAGACCAGCTGAGTTCCAAACAGCCCAGAATTCTAAGGGAGTGGTAGTGGTACGACGGTTTGTATGTTGCAGTCCTGACTGATGTAGTATCTAAAGCAAGCAAAAACAGCCTTAGGGCAATTTTTTGGTCTTCTGCCAAGCAGTAACAGCCTTTTAGGATTTATCCAGTAACTGAAGGTCTTCAGGATTCAGCAGGGTGCTTCAAATGCCTCACTTTGTAGATTTATAACCCTATGTGCCCAAAGGCAAGGCGAGTTTCATTTTTTCGAGTGACCATATCAGATTTTTTTAACTGGGACTTCTTCATGCCATCGTACTTCTAAGATGACAAGTAACTAGAGGTAGTTATATTTTCCACAGAGCAAGGGGACTCAGTGTTGCAATTCCCCAAACTGAAAATTAGTAAGATAGCTGGGTGATATGTGATATTTCCTGTTGGTCTAGAGGAAGCTAAGGAAGATGTTAATCTGAGAGGGAATGAGAGTGCCCTTCCTTGTGTAAGTTATTCACCCTCACAGGGAAAGGTCAGGAGAATTCAGAGATGGGTTTTGAGTGAGTTGGGCTATGTAAGGAACAGTCCTGTATATACTGATTGAATGGCCTAAAGCCATCTAACACCACTCCAGAGAGAAGCAACCTCCTGTTATGTGATAGGGCAGGGAGGTACTTAACTCTTTCATCCTCAGAGTTGAAAGTAAATAAAGATACGGCTGTTCCTTTAAATGTGGACAATCTCTTTCATCTTACATGTCAGCCTTAATTTTGACTATTGACTCGTGCTCAGCATTTTCTGCCACATAGTTATTTTCATTGGGGTTGTTAAATAGGAGTCATAGGCTAATAGGACTTACTGTAGAAGAGATTTTTTCCATTAAAAAAAAAAATGTTGGCACCATAGTTGAAAAAAATAATTTAGAATGTAATTGGTTTACAATAAAATTAAATATACTAAGGTTTTTCTGGCCTATCAATTTACATGCTTTCTAAAATGTTTTTGAATTGTTGATTAGTATTTCTTTTAGGTTAAAATCAGTCTAATATTCTAATTAAATATGTAGTTCTGAATCCACAACAGGAATAATGGTTTTGTGTTTGTTTGGGTTTTTTTTTTCTGTGCTTGATGGGGTTTATGAAGTCCTTACCTATTTTATCAGTCACAAAACCTAAGCCTACTAGAGTCAGGAAAATGAATAGTTAACTGCATCATTGTCACATAACAACCTTGTGTACTTTGTGGAACTTTCTAGAAACTACCCAAGATGTTTATAAGCTGCTTGTTTTGATTTAGTTCTGCGAATGGACATTTCTAATCAAATGGGATGATTATGTCTTCAAAACATGGAATTAGTATGCAAGGCTGCCATGGTCTGTAACAGCAGTGCTTTTGAAGTTTCCCCTCTTCATGCCCCTCTCGAGATGCATACGTTCCTTAGGCAGCAGAGCTAGACACACTGTCCTCCTCGGTGAAGCTACTTCCACCTCCTGAGCTGGTACTGCTGTAGGTTACGTTGTGGGTCGCACAGTTACTGCTTGAGTTAAGAGAGTTTCCTTATGAAGTCTCTGAATTAGACTTTGAATGGAAATCTGTGCTGTGGTAATTGAAGAGTTTGATTTTTGGGACTGTGAACTACAGAAGCTCTGAGGGTCGGGTGATCTCTAGTGGAGAGACACTGCTGGCAGAGGCAACCAGAGCTCAGCAGCGGGCATGTGGTAAATAGAAACATCTGAAAGGTTTTGGGTAAGAAACACTAAAAAAGAAGTGTGTTTTAGTAGCTTTTGTCAGATCTGTTGCATTTCCATTTCATAATGCAAGTATTTGCTACCTTCATTCCTAATTTGGAAGTTGCTACTTTGACCTTGTCATGCGAGAGGTGGATAGCTGTCTTTACCCTTTGGATTGCTACTGAGGAGGAAGACAACTTAGAAACCAGAGCAGCTCTCTTTGACTCCACCTACATATTACCTGTCCTGGGAACACTACACAGTGGGTTCAGGTGCACACCTGTGTCTCAGTAGTGGAAGGACGCTGTATCTACCAATGTACTTCTGTCTCCCAGGCAGCCAGTTTCCATAGAAGGGAAGCTTGGTGATGAGCCAGACAAGATCCACAAAATATTCAAGTAAGTCCCTAACCTGGGTTCAGGAAACTTGACACATTTCATCTGTGCATGCTAGGAAATTAATGGTTATCAGCAAATAAATATTATAATCAGAATGGATTTTTTTAAAGCAAAATGGTAGCATCACCAGCGAAGACTTTTGTGCTTGTCCAACCTTTGATTCCTTTATCTGACTCCATGCAATATGTCAGGCTCTGTAGAAGCCACAGCTGCTGTGTTTACCTGGCATTCTAGGGGTTCTTGATGTATGCAGACTAGATTGCAAGACCGTTGTAATGTAAGGGGTCAGAAACATATTGAAGAGAAGAGAATATCCTCCTAGAAGGGAAACCTCAAGAAGAGAGACTTACCTAAGAATCCTTTTTCTGAACTTGGTATAGCCAGCCATTCAGTATATGTTTATTTGTTAAGATTTATAGTTTAGATTTTCATGCCATTTGTAAAATACTTTTTTTTTTTTAATTTGTATATTCTAAAAGCTTCAGATATTTAATGGTAAGGTCTGGCTATGTTGTTCTAAATGCTGTTAAGGTCTAGCTGTTCTGATTCATTCTGAATGACAAGAGTCAAACTTAATGTCTCACTCTCAAGTTTGTTCAGTTGCCTTTTAGACATCTGTGACTCATGAGCCTTATTGACTATTTCTGCTATGGTTTTTGCACTGATCAGTTTAAAAGAAAAAAAAAATATATGCAGTTGTGTGTAGGCCAGGTATAAGAATCCAAAAGGACTGTGCTGCAAAATGCTAATTCAAATGGTAGGTGAAGCCAAGCATAAACGAAATAATAAACAGATGTGAGTCACCAAATATAGAACACTTAAGTCCTAACTGCAAAGGGACACAAATGAGATGATAGGGTATTAGTAGAAAGATGCAATTTACAGGTCAGAATGTAATAGTAACCTTTCACTGTGAAAATTGAAAATTAACCTTGGGAGTATTGGATCATTTACAGCTTATATGGTACTTTTATCGAAGAAGAAAAATCTCTAAAAAGACTTCCTGTGATTGTCAAGATTTTAAAATGGTGCTTTTCAAAACGTGTTGTTTTCTCTTCTGTAACTGCATCTTGCTGTATTTTCATTTAGTGATGCCTACACAGGTGGCACTATGGGGGTTTCTTAGAGGTTCACACTTTTTTTTTTTTTCAAATTTTAAATCTTCATAGAAGCTATGGTGATTTACTTGCTTTCGGTGAAATTCTTAGTGAGCATTAGTCATTGTGTCCGTTGAACTTACCTAGGGATTTTACTAGTAGCATGTCATTTATCAAGACTTCTTGATTTTTATTTTTTTCATCTTACCTGAGATTAACAGCAGAGGCAGGTTCCATAAAAGTCATGTGAACTTCATTACAATTACCTTTCTAGTCATTTAAACATCTGGTTTCCAATAATGAGTAGCATTTGGAAAAATAAAAATAGAACTGAGAAGGAGAATTTTTTTTATCAGAAACCTCCCATTCAGATATGGAATATGACTTGTATATAAACTAACAGTAAGGCAGTTTTCCTAAAGTATTAATTTTTTTAAGGAATAAACCACACGGTGGTGGTGATAGAAAAATATCTAGTGCATTATTTAAAGTGTAACATAGAAGAAAGTAGAAGCTAGATGCCATGCACTTTACAGCAGCAAAATTAAAAAAAAAAAAGTGGATCTCTAATGCATGCATTTAAGATGCCATGTAGTGATAGCTGATAGTGATTATTGTATAATGTACCATTTCTGGGTTTGTAAAAGGGACTTTCACAAGCGTGTTTGTGGGATGCAGTGTTGTAAGCTTGGTTTCCATCTCATTTGATATGGTAAGAACTCAATTATGTTACTGTTGAAACAAAGTAATAAAATGATGCAAGTGAACAAAGTAAGCTAAAAATAAGATCCTTTACTTATCTATTTACTACATATTACAGTGTCTCAGCTTGCATGTAATTGTAGATCTAATAAAATGTTTTATATGGAAATACGCCCAGAATCTTTTACTTACCTAGCAGTGTCTTTGGTACAGAAATTGTGTTCTTGTTTTGCATAATTTCTACTGGACGCCCTTTAAGTATTGTTGAATATATATCTGTTTTGGTTTTTTTCTTTTATTAGAACTGTTATTTCTGAACAATATATTCTAAATACCTCATTTGCAGGAATAAGTTCAATTAAGTTTTTATATTCTTCATAAGAATTTTTGTAAGCTTTCTGAAGGAAAATACTCATTTGATCTATTAAGATTTTGTACTCGGTCTACTGCTATTCACATTTTTTTTTCCTAGATTCTTGGAAGAGTTTAGACTTTTACCCTAGCAACAGTTGTTTGGCTTTAGCCTAATTTATATCAGAGTATAATAGACCTTTCACACTTTAAACATGTCTCTTTTTTCCTTTTTCTTTCTTTAGGTAGCTCTGGTGCAGTGGACGGAGAGCGTCGGTCTCACTCTGGTTAACAGGGATTTGACCTCCATGCAGCTGAAGACCCCTGGTGGACACATTCTGACGTACTATATTCTGCAGATCTTTCCGTTCACTTCTGAGAGCAAGCGCATGGGGATCATAGTTAGGGTAATGTTGGGGGTGTTCTGGATCTTGGGTTTTACTTCTAAAAAATGTTTTTACTGAATGTTTATTTTTATAAAATTTCATAGAAACTTGATCCTTTAGGGAATGTATTTCACAAGATTTTCAAATAGAAAGTATACCTTTGACACAGGTACACATGAAATACTAGGCAAGCAATTGTAGAAGAATCAAGTTAACCTGATGTTGCAGAGAGCTCTGTAAAGAACAAACTCTTCTCTTACATAGGAACATGTTAATTTCACTGCTTCACGCTTAGCCTCTGATGCTGCAAGTTGCCTTTAAGCCTCTGTTTTTACTTTTCCATTTCTTTCTTTCATACAAAATATGTTGCCTCTTCAAGGAATAAATTAATGGCTGGAATTTCTTACAATAGTAGTTAGCATCTTTCTATACTACTCGTGCTTCTGCTTTTCCAGAGCCAGTATTGATGTCTGAACTGGCGTGCATGCACAGCACAGCCCACAGGGTCTAAGATTTGTAAGTGCTTAGCTGTCTCCTAGATGCCCAGTTGGGAGCATAGTAATGATCATTAAAACCTCAGATGAAAGGAAGCCACAACACCATACTAAAAGGAAGGTTTAAACCTCTGCGAACATTAAGCTGTCCATGCCACATACATCTCTCCCTACCTAAAATCAGACACTGTAGCACAACAGCATCAGACAACATTGTTAGATGATTAGATCAGTGCCAAGTCCCAGTTAAATAGGTGTCAAACTTATCCCATTTTTTATTTGCCCATGATGACAAGCTAGGCATGCCATCAGCCTTAGGCAAGGATACTTCAGGCAGAATATGTGCATGCTCAGGTCTGGAGAGACCTTGGCAAGTCTGTATTTCATCAGGTGAGATTGGCACTAAAAGCCCGTTTAACAGTGACATATTCAGAGATATTCTAAGCTTGCAGATCAGGCTAATCCATTCCTTCTGCAACAGACCATACCTCAAAAACTCCTGATTTGGATTGTATTTACCTGTGTCTGAATTATCTGCATATGCAATGAATGTTTCATTAAAACATCTGTAACAAACATTTACACTAAGTTATTTGTAAATTTTTAATTACTTCAGTATTTCAGAAATACAGAGCAAACTTTCTGTTGTGGGTTAGATAGTATATGCCACCAAAGAAACAAAATAGTAGTTAGAGGGGGCATAACATTAATATTTTAAAAATTAGACAGGCAGTTTCAGGATGCTGAGATTCTGTTACTCACATTGACTTCAGTTAAAACTGATCCTCTTATATGAGAAAGTAGGGATTCCATCTGGATGGAATCAGAGATGATGTTGAAAGTAGTAACATCCAATAATAAAACTTACTCACCTCTTGGCAAGGTACTTCATCTTTCATAAATGATAATCCATTGACTACTTCAAAAGACAATTAGATTATTCGTAGGTAATTGTTTTGACTGTATAAACAGATTTCCCCCCCCCTCCTCTATTTCTTTTGTAAAATTTTAGGATGAATCTTCAGGAGAAATTACATTTTACATGAAGGGTGCAGATGTTGCAATGTCCACTATTGTACAGTACAATGACTGGTTAGAAGAAGAGGTAAGAAACAAAGTAAAAATTTATAAAAATTAAAATTTTGTAAAAACTAAACATTTAAAATCAAAATATCAGGTATTATTGGAATAGGTTTAAAGGAAAACCTGAGCCAATGCAGTAATGGGGTTTGAAGTTCAGTTACATATATCCTGAATGGGTTTTAAGGGATTGGAATTCTTTTTATTTCTTGAATAACCCACAGGAAAAGCAAAGCCAGTAGTCATAGCAGAACACATTCCTACTTAAAACAAGGAAATTTGCTTTTCATTGACTGACATTTCACATAAAACCTAATTACCTCTGAGAAGTATTCTTCTATAAATCTATTTATCATGTAATGCCCTTGTTTTATCAAATTCTGCAGTGAGGTATGATTATGAATTAAGAAGTTTTAATAAGGGTTGCAGCCAAATTGAAATAGTTTTTTGCCATGTTCATTAAATTTAACATAAAAGAAAAATTTAAATAATACATATTTTTATATATATTTATATAAATAATATAAAATTTAATATAAAATAGCTAGTGACTGAATTTCAAAACTGATTAATCTTTTTCACTGTGTAACTCTAGTAGATACCAGCAGTCATCTTATTTTGACCCTACATGGAGACAATATGTTAATACAATGATTACACCATGTATGTTCATAATGGTATTGGCAATATGAATCAATATCTGCTGCAGGGCAGTTTGATTTATTTGGGGACATGAATAAATTAAACTCCCTCAAGACCTAGCAAAATGTCATAAAAATTACTTTTGGCGATAATGATGCACAATTAATTGTAAAATACTTGTTTAATTTATTTAGCTTTATGAGGTCAAATCAATAAGTGTTTTGCACTGGACAGCCTTGTTTTTCATTAAGACATGCTATTCCATGGCTATTTTTAATGTGTAGATATTTTTCTGATAAGAGGTATATTCAGTGGAAAAAGAAAATGTAGCTCTGTTACGTGCCTTAAAAATAGTTTTAATTTATTTTAAGGCTTCAACCTAAAAGAGATTTTCTTCAAGCTAGGAGAGGAAATCTAACTGGCTTACCAATAGCATGCCACTTCATTTGGGGGGCCTGAAGTATAATTGCTTTTTATTCTGTTTGTGGCTTTGCCAAAATAATCTAAGAGTTAATGAAACACCAAAAGTTACAGTACAGATATCCTCTGTTAGCATATAGTATAAAATGTGTACATACGGTTGAATATTTACATAACTGTTCTCTGGTTTTGTCCATTTAGTGTGGTAATATGGCACGAGAAGGACTGCGTACGCTGGTTGTTGCCAAAAAATCACTGACTGAAGAACAGTATCAAGATTTTGAGGTATGAAGGGACAGAGCGATCTTGTGCTTCACCATATTTAGTTACTTCAAGGGGAACATCCCTCTTTTTTTATTCTGTTAAGATGGCAAAAAAGATGATTCATATTTAAAATATCAATAGTTGAGGTATGGCACACAATCTGTTAGAGATTTATTATGTGACTGGACAATGTTTTCCCAGAAGCTAGCATAATGTTAATTCCGTAGCTTCCGCATGACCTAAAAAAATCTACTTGTTCTCAAAGATAAGGGCAGTTCCTGCTTAGATGCTGTGATGCCTAATTCTTAACAGCTCTTCAGAAGGCATTCTCTTGAGGTGATTTGTCAGAAAAAACATGTATAACATTGGGTGTAAAGTAAAACTTGCTCTTTTAATCTTGTTCTTCATTAAAGATATTTAAAGACAAACATTTAGCCTAGTGAATTCATATTATAACTGATTGGTAGACTGAATGTATACTTTGAGTCATAGCAAACTCTAAGTGGTTTTGTGTTTGTGCAAACAGAGTCGATATAACCAAGCAAAGTTAAGTATACATGATAGAAACCTGAAGGTTGCTGCTGTTGTAGAGAGTTTGGAGCGAGAAATGGAATTGCTGTGTCTCACTGGAGTAGAAGATCAGCTGCAAGCAGATGTTAGACCAACTCTAGAGATGCTAAGAAATGCTGGAATAAAGGTACTAAATGCATACTGCTGACATAACAGGTTATCATTTATTAACTTTTTTTAACAAAGCATGAATTATATTTGTCTATATTCATGTTCATTCAAAGTAAGAAATATGCCAAGTCCTAACCACATTCTGGGCATGAGGTAGCAGAAACAAACAAGACGTTGTGTGCAAAGTTCTCTCGTTCACCACAGGTTTCATTCATCTTAAGCTTACTACTGTAGGAAAACTAGCCATGGATAAATGTATGTGACTCCCAATCATTTACCCCCTGACTGTCTACAGTAAACTGGCCTAGCTGACACTAAATGAGTTTGGCACAAGATTCGTATGATACCAATGTTTTCAGGCTCGGCACTCACGAGAAGTCTCAGCAAAGATCAAAAGGTGAATTGTTTGAACTAGAATTCAGAACCGCCCTTGGAGTTTGTTCAAGTCATGTTAAAGGGACAGGGTCAAAAGTTTTGCACAAGAGTTTGTGCTGTGTTTTGTTCGTAGGTAGGCTATGCTAGACAGCTGTCAATTGTACATTTAGAAGTAACACATTTATTTGAAAGAGGGTTTGAAGTAAAGATATAAGCACTATCTGAGGGGAGTGGGCAAGATTATATACATTTTGCTTGACGCAGAGAGTCAAACTCTGCACAGAAAAGGTGTGTTTACTTTGCATTGGTTAAACTGAATCAGATACAATGGGGTTTTTTTAGCCTGAGAAGGAGGGTAAGTTATTTTACTTCGCAGCAAGCATGGGAAATCTCCCTTTGCATGAGAGAGGAGCGGGAGTGCATGGAGCTCTGTCTTGGGACAAACGATGAGCCAGTTGAGAATTTATGGGTTAGAATTAGTGGGCAGACCAATGTGGACAACATTATGGTGAGTGTCTGCTACAGACTGCCTGATCAAGAAGCAGTAGAAGAGGCCTTCTTCAGACAACTGGAAGAAGCCTCACATTTGCACATGCTGGTCCTTGTGCTGGACTTCAACTACTCCAGTATCTGCTGGAAGGGCAACACAGGAGGGCACAAGCAAACCAGGAGAATTTTGGAGTGCAATGACAATAATTTCCTGGCACAGGTGATAAAGGAGTCAACAAGGAGAGATGCTCTACTAGTCTTCATACTAACAAACAAGGAGAAACTGGTCAGGGATGTGAAAGCAGGGTGAGGGGATGGCCTTGGCAACCTACAGTAGTCATGAGAGGGTGAAGTTCAGCA